CTAAACCCTAAACCCTAAAAAGTCTGAGCACCTAGACCTTGCAACTTTGAATCCCAAACCCTCAACTTCCATCCTGCCTTTGTCTGGTGCTGGCGCGCGAGCAGCTGACGTGAGGAAGCCCAGGGCCAAGCGTCTGCTGCATGGTTCAGGGATTGAGCTTTAGGGATTAGGGTTTATGGTATTGGGTTTTGGGATTAAGGTTTATGGATCCAGTGTTTAGGGTTTAGTGGATAGGGTTTAGGGTGTAGGGGTGGAACCTAAAATTGTGGAATAGGGTTTGGGCGGGTGCAGTGAGGGGATAGCAAGGTAATGGCTTCAATCTTCTCACGTTTCCACAGTACGCATGAGAGGTCCAGATTGTGTTTACTCACTGCAGTCTGTTGATACACTTCGTTGCTGCGTGCGGTGAGCTGAAAACACTTGCCCCACTTCAAGGTCCATGGGACTTAGTAACTACTCATACCCTAAGGACCCAAATAATAGGGTTTTAGGGCCCAAATACTACAATACTAATAATATTTGGGCCCTAAAACCTTATTATTTGGGTCCTTGGACCCGTAGGGATAACTGGGGCTACAACCCTACCTATGCCGCCTCTAGGCTGGACTCATAGTCTCTCGCAATTAGAACTAATTGTAAGTACTAGGGGTATACATATTATCCGAAGACTGGGTTTTGGGTTCCAGACACCTAAATCTAATTTTTGGGTACCTTGAAACCATGTTGTCATTTGGTTGCTTGGTCCCTTGGCATCTTGTGCTCTAGACCCTAGACTCTAAGCCCTGAATCCCAACCAAGCGCTGAAAACCTAAACCCTAAACCCCTAAACCTTTCAGGGCCTAGGGTATTGTCGGAAAGTGACAACTTGCAGAATGACAAACTGCCTGCGTCTGACTGGCGGCCGCGGGACACCTGGCGCAGACTTCGCAACTGGTTCAGGGTTTAAGGGTTGGGGGTTGGGGTTTATAAGAGTTAGGGTTTAGTGAGTTTAGTGTTAAAGTTTATAAGAATTACGTAGGGTTTAGGGATTAGGGTTTAAGGACTAGGGTGCATAAGGGTTAGGGTTTAGGGATTAGGGCTTAGGGTTTAGTGATTAGGGTTGGGGGATCAGGGTTTAGGAATTAGGGTTCAAAAGAGTTAGGGTTCAGGGTTAGGATTTGAGGATTAGGGTCTATGAGAGTTAGGGATTGGGGTTTAAGGCTTAGGGTGCATAAGGGTAAGGGTTTAGGGATTAGGGGTTAGGGTTTAGTGATTAGAGGTTTTCCAACTGCACAATCCAGCTAAAAAGCCGTCAGGCCAGGTAAGGAGCAACGCACCTTCACACTGGCCTTTGGTTAGCTGGGGATGGAGGAACGGAAAAGAAAATGGAAACCCCTATCATGGGATTTATAGGAACTACTATAAGGATCCATGCCTTCATCCCTAGCTAACCAAAGGCCAGCACAGGCTGCATCCACGGCAACTGCTTTCAGATTAGGCTGAAGGCTCTTCCAGCACTCCAGCCACTTTAGCCCGCTCCACTCAAATCCCCGGGACGCGACACATCCGATGCCTATGCAATAGAGTTAGGGTTTAGGGTCTAGGTTTTGGTGCTAAGGTTCGGGGGATTAGGGTTTAGGTGGTAAGGTTTAGGGATTAGGGTTTAGGGGAAGCAGCTACCTTTAGCCCTTACCCTCTCATTACCCTCAGTACAGCCCAAAGACCCACAAATCCAAAGACCCACAAGTGAGAAATGCATAGGCGTCAGGGATTAGGGTTTCGGGTTTAGGGATTAGGGCTTAGGGTTGAGGGCGTTGGGGCGGTCCTTGTAGAACTATTCCGTTCAAAGCTCTAAATCCCGGAGTAACCTAAATCTTCCTGCTGATTGACCATTCTAAGTAAATATCCACTCGCCTTTGGCAAGACCAGCGAATGACAAGCTCTGGGAGCTCGAACCGGGGTTGTGTTTGGCCACAGTTCTTTGCTTCTTAGAAGCTTGCACTGGATACCGATGTATGACGTACTTTGGCTTCCCAGTAGCTGTAGGGAGCTGTTGGCAAGCCTTCTGGGCTTGCCGGACATGCGAGCAGGTCCTTTGAAATTGATCTTCCTCGCCTCCACGGCTTGTTGCCTGAGTTCAAACTTACTCAAAAATACGCACACATGCGCCCGAATCCCCCAAAGTCCTGCACTGTCAACAATGACTGTGTTTAACATGTTTTGTCCTTCCAACCCTTGTCAACGAGTTTTTGTCTATCTCCTTAGGTTACAGGGGCCCGGGATTTTGAGCATCAACCAATGCATGTCTTTGCCGCTGCTTGATGAACCCAGTGAGTGCAAAGCGGATTTGTGCGAGGTTTCCAGTCCAAAGATTAGGGGACCCTCTTTGAGATTTCCCACAGGAAGGAAAACTAGTGATTTACGGAAATCCCCGTCTGGGTGTTTGCTCCGATATAAACCACTGAGCAGAGGCCTCTGAAGATTCGTGGGTGTGCATGCTAGTCTGGGTTGCTGCTAAGGAACTTACATTAAGTTACCATAATGGGTATATACAGTAATAATAGGGTTTCCCCAGTATAGTAACTTAATTTAAGTTCCTTAACAGCAATCCAGTGGTTCGCCGGTCCCTGCCCGGGGCTCCAACTGGGCTGCAGCCAATCGAAACCCGTAAACACAGCCATGCGGGACTTTCCCCAGATACTTCTTGGACAATCTTTGAAGGCCCTCATCATGTACCCATACCCCTGTATGTTCCTGGGTACCCACCTAACATAGCTGATTTTGAGCAACCCCCTTCTCTCCGAAGATTGCCAGCTTTCTCAAAGCAGAGGCTGCAGAAGTTCCCTACACCCTAACCCTGAGGGTCCAAGGACCCAAATGATAGGGTTTAAGGTCCCAAATACCATTCGTACTATAGTAGTTGGGGCCTAAAACACCATTATTAGTTGGGTACTTGGACCCTTAGGGTAAGCTCTAAACCCTAAGGGGCATCACTTGCCGTGGTTGCCCTTTGCCGTCGTGGGCATTCTAATCTCAGACATGGTTGTTCTGGGTTGCTCTTAAGGAACTTAAGTGAGGTTCACCACAATACGGGAATATAGGGTTTCCTGATTACAGTAACTGACATAAAGTTCATTAGCAGCAACCCATTGTTGGGATAATCTTCGAGAACTTGCTGATGGCCAGGAGGGAAGCAAGGGTTGGATATCTACAGTAGACAAATTGCGATCCCTACATGGAAACCTTTCATTCCATGCCAGCCCTAAACCCAGAAGCCTGACCCTAAACCCTGAGAAATGATTTTGTCGCCATGTTCTTGTCCATTTCTTCGTTCCTTAACATTCAACCCTAAAGCGTAAACCAGCAGCAGCGGGAGTGCCTTCGCCAGCGGGGAGCTCTGTGACCTTCTCCACCTCATCATCCGCCATCGCCTGTGGATGGCCCAAGTGGCATACAGTTCAAGTGTTTAAGCCTTTAGGGTTTAGCGGTAGGGTGTGTGCTGCTACCTACGATGACAATGTCAGTACATTTTTGGCTGTCCAGTCTGACACCCACCCTACATACAGTTATCCACCCCAACCCTAAACCCTAAACCCGGTTCTTAGGTATGCACCATTGGAAGCCCTTGGACCCTGAACCCTCAACCATTGCTTGGTAGGGCAGGGCCTCGAACAAGCAGAATGTAGGGGGAGAGATATAGAGGTTATATGGGGATGGAAAAGAACATGGAACATAATATGAGAACTGGGCTTATAGACGGGGTTACAGGGATTGCAACGTAGGGACCTCAATAATTCGAATAGGGTTTAGGGCACTTTCTATGAGACTAACCAGTGATAGGCTTCTACATTGCAAGGGTGCCTCCAGTTGTAGAAGTTAAGCCTTCAGTGGTGATACTGGGAAATGGAGATTATGAATTCCATTAAGTTACAGTCATGAATTCTACGGCCTATCTACATGGCTTAGGCACCACCCTGCATGTATCACTATGAACTCACCCCCGTAGTCACAACAGAAGCTTCCTTTTGCATGTTGATCGGATGTTATCTGGCCCTAAGGGTCCAAGTACCGTAAAAGATGCTGTAGGAGGGTCCCAAACCCTAAGGGTCCAAGTACCTAATAATCATATACTTACCCAAAACCTGTACTATAATTACTGTACCAAGCCCTCAGTACCCAATCATTGTGTACGTGGACCCTCTGGGAAATACTAGAATCTGACAGATTTCGGAAGCCTTCACATTTGGGCACCTCAGCCTTTAGGCTGTCATGCGCTGAGTATGGCATGTGATTGCTGGTCATGTACTTGGCGTGGGGTAATGTATCTTGGCGAGAGATGGGCGGTGTGTGTAAAATCCTTTCAGGTAAGGAACAGGTGTTGCTGTGGTCTACTGCGGTGCCCCATAGTCAGCACATTTAGGGTTTAGGGTTTAGGGTATGCCACTACTCAGCTACAACCCTCACACGTTCGGCGGCAATGCCATTTCTTCCCAGGGGAATAATCATTCATAATTAGCATGATCGCTGCCTACGGAGGTTTCCATACATAGGGGGGCCCGAATATAGACCCCAAATAAGAAAATGCTTACTATTCGGACCCCCAAGATGGTAACCTTCATGTTGGGAAACACCCACATTAAAGCTTGGAACAGCCAGTTCCCTGCACCCTTCACCCTTTACTATAAAGCCCTACATCCAAAGCCTACATCCTAAACCCTAAATCCCAAAACCTAAGCCCTAAAGCCTAAACCGTAAATCTCGTCATGTCTTCCAGATCCTGGTTAGGTTTCACCCCTGGGCTTGAAGTTGGGTATTGCTGCCACCCGAAAACAATTTGTAATAAGGGTGGTACTAATGGCTGAAAACATATACAGTGATATTGCAAGCACTATCGAAAGCTCCTGAGTGGGAGCAATGGCAATGACCAAGGCCGAACCTGACCCCAAATCCTCCCAAAGAAGAACAAACAAACATAAACATAATTTACGACCAGCCGCCTTAAGCCTGCTGAACACCATTCAAACTTGGCCGGGTGTTGCGACGCCACCCTCCGCCCTAAACCCCTCTACCCCCAAACCCTAAACCCTAAACCTAATCAGCAACCCGAAAAGCTGTGGCAGCAGCAGGACTTTTTGACATGAGCCGCACGAAGACTTCGCACTGAAGGCTAAAACCTAAATACGGGCTGCCAATGAATCCCAAATGAGTATTGCTTTTTTGGTGGTTAAACCCAGTAAGATAATATTCCTCATATAAAATACTATACCCCAAAAAAGGAGGATATAATCTTACTCTATATAGGGTACCATAGTATCCCCAAATAGAATACTACTCAAATCAGAATCGACACATCATAGTGCTTGAGTAGGGTATGTTCTTGGAAATAAGACCCCCCCTTCACACCCCTAAACAGCATGGACTTTTGTTCCATCTGAATCTACATTGCGCCCCCTTTGTGTTGTTGACAGCATTTCTCCATATATAGATATATACATATGTTTACACATATATTAGTTGATAACAAAAAGACCTCTTCGCGGAAATCCAAAGTT